AGAGAGAGAGAGAGAGAGTTTGAGGGGTGTCCTTTCGGGAGGGGGTTTCGAAACTCAGCCGGGGGAATGCGACCACTCTCATCCCCGGAAGGGGTCATTCAGACTCGACGCTCGCGGACAGTAGAGGGGTAGGCCTAGGCGCCGGGATCCCCTGGGGGGTCCATACCCCGAGCAAGCAAGCAAGCAAGAGAGACAAACATGGATGTGTCCACTGAGAATGTGCGACTGCCCCTAGTCTTTATGACTTTCGTCTTTGGGAAGTCTACGTTCGTATCTCACTCCCCTTTATCCGATCAAAGGGTGGGGGGGCAGGAAAGAGAGGGAGGGAGAGATGGAGGGAGGGATGTTGCGGACGAGAGAGATCAGGGAAGTCAGAAAAGGGGGCGGTGAGAGGGTTCTCGGTCTACGGATCGTGTTTTTCGACAGACAATGAAGGTAGTTGAATTGTTCTGCATTGGTGAAGCTCGGTCTTGCTCGTTTGGGGTGCACCGTCTCATGCAGATTCATGGAGGCTTTCAGGGCATTGGTGTCAGCGTCTCGCATTTTTGCCTGGTTGCTCCAGCTTGCTTCTCACACCTTGTCTGTGTCTAAAACAAGCGAATCCCGGCTTTTCCGCTGCCGTGGGGTCTTGTATTAGGCGCTCCGAATCGGAATAACCCAGGCCATGGACCCCTGGTTCAATGAGGAGACGCACAAGCAATATGAGGAGGCAGGGCGACCAGTGCTGAGTCTGGGCGACTTCTTCTCTTCTGTCGATCATCCGCCTCTCCCAGCCCATGCTCGGCATCCTTTCCTGAGCTGCTACCATCATCGCCGTTTCACAACTTTGTCTGCCCGTGCCGCTGCGTATGACTTACCACTGGCACGACCCCTACGACGTGGAGAACGACGGCGACGGCGACGATGCACAGATACAAAAAGTCACGCACTCACGTCTGAGGGAGACAGAACAGAATCGTTTAACAAAACCCTCACAGCAAAGCGATACATCCCCGACCGGCGTCCTCTAAAGATCCCTGCGCTACTGACTAGCTTACAGAAAGTCCCTCTAAAAAAATCAAACAGCGGCGCAGGACGACATCTTCGATGCACTGGATGATCCTGCCCTCAAGATACAGAGCCTTCGGCGGCAGGATTTTAACAATTTCCGGCTCTCATGCCCGGGTGTGACATTGACTTCGCCAATAGACTAATAGACTACAACGACACGTGTCTCGCGAGCTGAAGCAATCAAGTACCAAGCACATCACCGAAGTCGGACTGAACCCAGGTACTACGAGCGACGCTGGTCTCTTAAGGAACCGGGCGTTCGGAACCTGGTAGAGCTCCTCTGCTGATTTATTCTCTTTTCTGCCTAGCTGTGTTGTCGCCCAAACTCGCAATCCCGATCCTGAGCTTTTGCTTCCTGGATGAAAAGGGGGCACGGTTCATGGGCACGGTTCATCAACAACAGCCCAGGGTTGTCGGACAGAGATCAGGAGTCAGGAGCTGTTTGTCTGTATTCAGAGCCCGAAACTGTGGCTGAAGGGCGGGAAGCAAAGACGGCTCAGGCTTTATGGGTTGTTGTTGGGGGAGGTTCGAAATGGCACCAGAAGGCAAACAAGAAGCATTGTTTCTGCGGACGGGCAGGTGGGGGAGAGCACAACACAGGACAGACTTTGTAAGCCTTCAAAATATGAAGCCAGCTCCAAAGCTCGCGAAAAGCCTGTGATTTCACCCCCGCATAACGAATCTCTAACACGAATTCAGGTTCAACAGGTTCTAGACATTAAGCTGCATATAAATGTCCCTTGAGCTCGAGCCGGTGGAGTCTTCCCGTCACTAGGGCGACAGCAAACACGTCTTCAATTCAGCCCTAAAGGTTCATCAAAGGCAGAAAAAGACCAGGCCGAGCCTGCATGATTTGTGTGCAACCAGCAAGAAAAACGCAACATGGGACCCAGCTCCAAACCACACGCACTTTCTTGTCCTTCTCCTCCTTCTTCGTCATTCCCCCCTTGTCTTATTGTTTGAATTGCTGTCAGTGTTCTTCCATGAGTTCCATGCTTCGGAATCGGACTTGTTCAGGCGAGCCCTTTTGGGAGTGCTTCCAGGCTTAGGGATGCCCCCAGTTAGAGACGTTCGAAATTATTTGTTTGGAATCTGGGTTTTGCAACATTCAACGTCGATTTCCTTAGCCGCAGCATGTTCATTCGTAAAGGCATGTTGCCGGCAACTTGCAAAATCAGGTGGCAAAGCTTCATTGAATAAGAGGAGTTCTTCAACTGGCCTAAGGGATGCTCAAACGCTCAACCTCGAACCCTTGCCCCAGATATGCACGGGTGTGGGTAAAAAGCCTCCGATCAAAACTTTAAGCCGCAACTCCGCCAAATCCACGGAGGTTAACGTACCTCAAGGAACCTCGAACGTAAATCCCAAGCCCAAACCGTAAGACCTTCTTAAGGCAAAAGCCATCCAAAAACCATCCCTGATCCCTAAAACCCTAAATCCTAAACCCGCAACCCTTCAGGGGATACGGGGTTCCTTTTCACACCGACCTTCACACCGTGAACCTCGCCTGGCTTGTCCGAGTTGTGAGAGCGTAAACCCGCAACCCTAAATTACAAATCCTAAACCCGCAACCCTAAAACCCGAAATCCCAAACCCAAGGTCCTTGCTGGTCGTGGACCCCGCGAAGCGCCCGAAGGCCAAGGATGCCGTGGGCTGAGCGCGGCAACGCAGCTTTTGCCCTTTTGGAGGTATGCGTGTGTGTGTGTGTGTGTATATATATATATCCTTACACTCCTTACACACACATATATATGGATAAATAGATATGTGTGTGTGTGTATACATACATACATACATACATACATGCATACATACATACATACATACATACATACATACACACACACATATATATATATATATTAATTATACACATCAACGAATGTACATATGTTTACATGTGTACTTCTGACTGTAACATGTATAAGCATGTTTAGAACCCACCTTATACGTTTACATATCAGTATATTTGTTGCTGTTATTTTTTCGGTATGGTGTTTTGTTTCGTTATATTTGATTACGCCCCGATGTTTTTTTTTTTTTTTTTTGTTGTTGTGTTGTGTTGATTAGATTCCGGTATACTATAAGGTACTATAGGATATTGCATTATGCCAATGTCACAATATATTAGAATCTTATAGAATATGTCACGTTATGTAAAATAAGATTTTGTTGTATGCTGTTATATTATTCTGCATAATTTCTTCATGATACTACATTACATTGCCTTACGTTGTATTATGTTGTTTTATTTTATGCTGTTTCACATTATACATATACTATGTTTTGTCATAAGGTCTTGCAAGTTATGATGTTACATATATGGTTTCACATGTGTATAAACAGGTTAGCCAGGTAAATGTAGAAAAGCAAGTAGATACATGAACAGATAACAATATGAACCAGAAAAGGTCAGATTGACTGACTCACTGGCTGGCTGCCAAGCTAGCCGCGAGCTACAATCAAAAAACAGGTACTTCATGACGTCTACAATTAATTGCGTAATTTGAGACAACACATTCCTATATGTACGAATGTAGCATACGTATGTGTGCGTGTGTATATGTGCAATGTAGCTTGAGATGAGCATGTTTTGTTGGTCGGGCTCAGGTGGTAGCGAAACTTATTCTCGGCGTTGGATTCGCAGAATCTGTTGCGAGGTTCGAGAGGTCATAGGCAGAAGATTTAGGGCGGATTGGCAGCCCGAATTACCAGCAAGCACGCAAGGTACTGTAGCACTGACATTTCCTTTTCGTTCAGCGAGTGCTAACGACCCAGGTGTTGCAGATCGAAGTTGTAAGCCCGTGGTCGCAGTTTGGCGCCATGGCCGTGGAGGATGGTGGCTACGAGCTTTTCGTGAAATCTGAGCTTGAGAAGCTTTGTGATAAATTGGTGCAGAAGTACCAGGTCGATGTCCGGCACGCAAGTGGGAAGTCCAGGGATCAAGTCGTCTTGGGGCAAAACCTGCAGCCCATTTCGCATTCTGCGAGTGGTGTCTTCAGCACTGCAAGTATCAAATCGAAGATCGCTGATGATCCATTTCAGCCTGACCGGCTTGACCTCTCCACTGCCACTGCATACAGTATGGGCTCCCTGTCCTCACTGGACTTAGGGGGTGGCTCGAAGCAAACTGTTGCGGAACACAACTGGGCTGCGATGACCGCGAAGCTCATGGACAGATTCCTGATCCCGGAGTCCGAGAGCGAGGAAGAAGATGTCGCATCCTATGTGAAAGAGGACATACTGGCACTCCGAGCTCCGTGGAAGACTTCGCTGCGACAGCATGCCTTAAAGCGAGAGAAGGCTGACAATGTCAAGTCGCCCTTGCTTCGGCGCCAGACACATCGCATGAAAGATGCAGCCATGGACGGCTCGTGCCTGCAACCGCTGGTGAGAAGGCCTAGCAGCAAGATTCAGATTCTAGATCCAGCAGCAGTACCACTTTTGCCCTTTTGTACATTTGGGGGTTTCCTTGCTAGACTGAACCAGGGGCGAACGGGTGCCCCTTTGCTTACCTTTCTGTGTTTTCATGTGTTATACTGGAGAACCTAGGATTACTTGGTCACTCCTCGGTGTCCTCTTCATCGTATGGGACATGATAGCGATCCCTCTGGAGCTCTTCGACAACGAGGAATTGAGCTCCTTGCTCTTGGTGGTGGGGAGGGTCTCTTTCGGATACTGGCTTCTTGGCATGCCACTTCATGCCGTCTTTGGCATTGAGATTGACGGACATCTTGAAATGCGCCCACGGGTGCTTCTCAAAAAGTACTGGCGGTCCTGGTTCGGTGTCGACCTGATGGTGATCGGCATCGACGCGGGGTTGATGCTTGTCGAGTTGTTGTCAGACAGCGTACCTGCAGGAGCACGATCTGCTCGATTCCTGCGCACATTGCGACTCTTGCGGCTTCTCCGTCTCCTGCGTGTGGCAAAGCTGCAACGCGAGCTGACGAAACTTGCCAACAATTTCCTTTCCACTTATGCCTTCATGGTGATGCGGATCGTATCTGGACTGCTAATGATTCTGACAGTGAACCACATCATCGCATGTTGCTGGTTCGGCCTCGGCCGCTGGACTCTCGTCGAAGATGGCAGCAGTTGGCTCCTCGACGCGGGCATCGCAGATGCAGGCCTTGCCGATTCGTATGCCACGTCTGTTCACTGGGCCCTTACACAGTTCACACCCGCAACGAATAACGTCGCGCCAGTTAACTTTATGGAACGATTCTTTGCCGTTTGGGTCATCCTCCTGGCCATGGGGACTTTCTCCTCTTTCATCAGCTCCATCACTGCGACCGTCACTACTTTGATGGCTTCCAGGGCTGAGCAGTTTAAGCACCACTCATCTTTGGTGCGCTTCTTCAACGACAGAAACCTTTCTACCGATACTTATTCGAAGATCAATGATGTTCTGAGGAGACAAGGAATGTATGATGTCCGCCTAAAGGAGAGAGATGTCAAGCTTTTGCAAGATGTTCCCGAACATTTGAAGGTCATGCTTCACGAGGAGATGTTCATGGCTTCTCTCACATCCTTGTGTATCTGGAAGCGCTGGAGACACGAGGATGATCTCCTGATCCACCGACAGATTTGCCATTTGGCAATGGTCGAGCATATCGCCTCCCCGGGAAACGATGCTTTCATGCCCGGGACGGAATGTACGCAGGTTTACCTTCTGGATCAAGGCAGTATGGGCTACATCGCCAGGCAATTCAGCAACCTGGAATCGGAAATCGTCTCTCCGGGGCAGGTGCTGTGCCTGCCATGCCTTTGGGCTGAGTGGCTCCATCGTGGACGTCTCACTGCAGATGGCGGTACGACTGCCTACTACAATGGGATCGACTGTGACAAGTTCTGTGGGCTTGTCAAACAGCACGGGAATCCGCTCTGGCAGTATTTGCAGATCTATGGAATACTCGTTGTCAGTGAGATCGAACACATGGATGCAGAGGACATCTTCGTCACAGACTTGCCCTTGGGCGAGGCCAAGATGGACGACATCGCAACCCGTGCCGGGCGTTTCGCAAACCTGGTCAACTCTCGGCAGGAGTCTGAGAATGTGTCCTTGGTGGCGACACTTGCTGGAATCGGACACACTCCCTCGCAGCCCTCGCACCGTCAGTCCTCCAGAACCTCGACGGTGCGGTCACAGGATCAGAATGCTCCGGCTGTGATCGTAAGTACTGAGATGTGAGCTTGGCTTGCAGACCCCCTTCGGTTTTCGGCCCTACTTGAGGCCTCTCAGGCATTTTGAAATATGCAGCTTTGTGGCCAGTAGAAATCGTCTGCGGGTTCCTAGCTGCAGCAATGTTTTCCATATCGTGCCGAAGAAATGGGGGGGCCACTCAGTAGCACAACGTCACGACATGTCCACTGCTGCATCTGTGGTTTCAAGCAGCATGCAAAGCATGTTGCGGTATTCCGAGAGGGTGTTCCTCAAACACTGAGAGTCCAGCCCCATGCAGCGGGAAGTTTCGCTGCAAGGCTCTGGATAGTCGACCCTGTCTAAAGTCACTCAAAATGAGGGCGATCGCTTTTGACATCTGTATGCGCCCTCATGTGTTGCTGGCCACGAGCTTTATTGTCTTTTCTAGCTTGAGTGTGACAACAGAGCTCTGACTAAAATTTGCTCTATTTTCATGTTGGTGGTCTCAACCGGAAGCACATCTCCAGGTCCTTCTGGAGGACAAGTGGCTCAGGCGGGGCGCTGTCGTTGGGCTCCATGCCACTGTCGCTACGAATATGCTCACTGTTTATTTAAATTTGTTCAATTGTTGCACTTTTCGCTCTGCTACTATCAGTGCTTATCAGTGCTACGGCGATCGGCAACCCAGTAATGGTGCTACTATACCGATGACAGGCATGCATCGGTTTGGTTTTGTTCTTATAGCGATTGATTATCGCAAGTTCGCCATTCAGCATCTGGCGTAGTTGTACTGCGGATTGCTAATCCGGACATGTCGATGGTGTGCCTTGATATTGTCTTGTCTTCTGTGCCACTGTATGTTTTTGTCATGCTGGTCGTCGTGAGCTGTCGTTCGGCTCTGGTGTTTAACAAAAAGTTGAAAACTTATTGTAGTCTTTAAGGTTGTGGCTTTTGCAATGAGGCCGGGTGGCTTTCTCAGAAAAAGGTTCCTAATATTAGACGGGGGCCCATCCAATAGATACTCGGAAAGTGTGTTTACTATTAGGGGGTATTTTTGTCTCTATTGTCAGATTTGGGCACACGAGTAAACCCTAAACCCTAAACCGCACAGGTCAGACCTCGTGAAGCCATGCCTGCCTTGTGCGAGTGTGTGAGGCTCCTAGACCCTAAACCCTAAACCTTTAACAGCCACTCTCACCTGAGAAAAAACAGACAGCTGGCAACCAGGGTGGCTCACCCTAACCCTAAACCTTTAACCTTAACCCCCCCTAATTCAGAATAGGTTCTAAAAGGCAGGGATGATTTCGGCAGGATTGGGACCAAAGTGTGTTTATTATTTGGGGGGTTTTTAATAAAAGGGGGAGGTGATTAATGATCAGACCCACTGCCACAGCATGGCGGGCAGGGTATACACGATCGTCTTGACGAGGGGGCTAAGTCACTAAGTGGCAGCTGCAGCGGCAGGAGCAGAGTTAAAGCCTGTGGATAAGATGAGACCCGACATTGTGTCAAACTGTGTCATTGCCGGGGTGCTAGTACCGCCACGTGCGAAGATTTGCCCACCCCTTCCAGCAGGAGCTGTGCTCTCTCGCTCTTTCTCTGTCTCTTTCTGCCTCTTTTCGTCTCTTTCTCTCTCTCTCTCTCTCTCTCTCTGTCTCTCCCTCCCTGTCGTGTCTCTCCGTCACTCTCCCTGCCTCTCGCTCTCGCTGTCGCTCTCTTGCTCTCACTCTCGTGATACGTGCACTTTCGTCCAAACCAGGGCGAACGGAAGGGACGGCGACTCGGCTGCTCTGCATGTGCCCACGCGTCCACACGTGTCGATGCCCCAGCCTCCTTTCGAGGCAGTGGTGGGTGGAGACTTTGGGCTTCGGGCTTTACAGTGTTCCCAGTCCTAGTTTTGATTGGGTCCGAAGGCATTGACAGGCTGTACATGAAGACCAGCCCCATGCCCTCCCGTCCTCTTGCACCATGGCGCTTTCTTTCACGAAGAAGCAAGTTTAAGCCGAGGAGGGTGCTGCTGCCTCTCGGCTTCCTTGCAGTGTCTTTCGGAGGTTATGCGTGGTGGGCACATTGGGGATTTGAGGTGGTCTGGGCGTCAGAAGGCTTGGAGCAGCTTCTGAGACGGATTGGCTGTCGTTCAGAATTCGCGAAATCTCATGAATCCCTACAGTGGCAAGACTTCGAACTCTGCGTACCCCATTCCGACAGCAAATTCACCAAGAGCAGGCTGTCCGCGCCCTCACGGTCAGGGTGTAGGGCAACTCTACTGAAGAAGCAAACAGGGTCGCGGCTGACTGCCTGACCCTCGAAGTGCCAGTGGGCCTCTGACGCTGTTTGTCCTCCCAGCATCAAGCAGGCCAGCAGATGATCCCCTTGGACAACCAACCAGTTTACCTCAGAATCAACCCGCGAACAAGAAAAACGGGTCAACTCGTGCGTGTCATGCGATGTTCCTTGGCCTTGTGAACCTTGGCACAGTGCAACTTGCAACTTGCAGCGAATCATATCGGTGCTTCGGTCAAAACTCTGGGCAATGGCCGACGCAAGAGAGTTGTGGCGTCACGGGGATCGTCTCAGCTGTACGGGTAGTGTCGCAAGAATACGCATACTTGGTGTCCTTTTAGTGCCAGAGGCAATAGTTAGTATGAAAGCCTTCGTGTGCTCATCCTAATTGCGCGACACGATAGTGTAGACGGTTCAGGAGCCGCAGATTTACCGCCCAGGTGCTATTGCTTGAGACACAGCTGGCCACGAGACAGCTGGCAACGAGCAGCATTTGGCTTCGCAGCCTGATGTGAACATGGGCAGTGAGGCATGTGTCTGCTTAGCAGGAGCCTTCAAAACCAACACCCGAACAACCATAGCCTACAGCAACAACAACTGTATCACCGGTAGCAGGCGTAGAACAAATAAACAACAGCAGCAGGCCGCTTCATCACTGCCTCCTTTCACAAGCAACAGAAACAAGTATTACTGCTGTTACTACGACGAGGATGACTGCGACCGCAAGTGCTACTACTGCTCAGACTCCGGGTCCCGGTCCCATGAATACCACCACAACCACCACCGCCACCACCGCCACGACTACTACTCGTGCGCCTACCGCTACTACTACTCAAGCTAACAACCCTACTCCTATACTACAAGTAGTAGCAGTAGTGGTCGTCGTCGTCGTGGTTGTCGTTATAGCGGGAATGGCAGTGCTGCAGAGGTAGTGGTTGTGGTAGTGGTACTGAAAGGGGTGTTTTGTGACGTAGCGGTGGCAGTGGTGCTAGTGGTGGTAGCAATAAATAGTAGTAGCAGCAGGAGTAGTAGTAGTAGTAGTAGTAGTAGTTACGGTAGTGGTAGTGGTAGTGGTAGTGGTAGTGGTAGTGGTAGTGGTAGTGGTAGTAGTGGTAGTAGTGGTAGCAGCAGCCGCAGCAGTAGTAGTAGTCGTCCTAGTAGTAGTAGTGGTAGTAGCAGCAGTAGCAGTAGCAGTAGCAGTAGCAGCAGCAGCAGCAGCAGTTGTTGCAGTTGTTGCAGTTGCAGAGGCAGCAGTATCAGCAGCAGCAGCAGCAGCAGCAGCAGTCAAGTAGCTGTTGCAGTAGCAGTTGTAGTTCCTGTAGTCGTCCTCCACCACTACTGCCGCCACTTCTGCCGTCGTCGTTGTCGCCGTTGTCGCTGTATTTTTTCCTCTCCCCACCTGAAACCGAAGACTCAGCCCAGGATTCGAATACCTTGTTACCGTTCTGGCGGCGCGACTTGGGACCCGCCTGGGGCCTGCTGGGAGGTAGCCTCAGCCTGCCCATGCAGCTTCCAGCAGGGTGTGGTACCTTTATTTTCTCGGGCTTGTGCCCTAGGAACTAGGGACGTGGAGTAATTGGTCAGGTAACAGCGATGAGCTCCGGGCCGAATGCAGACCCACACTGCACAGAGCTTGCACACGCAAGGCGCTATACATTTATAGACTCTCTTAGAGACTTTAAGACACCTTGTCCTTCATACGTTATCCCTGACGCCCTTGTCCTTGACACCTTCTTGTAACACCCGTCCTGGCAATTTATCCTTGACACCTTGTCCTTGATACCTTGTCTTTGCCACTTTTCCAGAGCACTTATCCTTAGCACCTCGTGACACATTGTCCGCGACACTGTCCTTGACACCTTGTCCTTCGCTTTGCTTTTGCCACCCGCCCACAAGAATACCTTGCTTCACACCTTATCTTTGAAACAGACCTCGCGACCTCACGGCCTTGCGGTTGGCACCTCGTTCTTACCGCCCTGTCCAGTTTTATGCTTGGTTTTGGCTGTTTTCTTTCTGGAGCTTTTACTTTCCCTGTACGTCATGGCACTATTCGGAACATGCTGGCCCTGGATGACACGGTTTTGAACAGCTCCACATGCAAGTGCTCCCAAGACAAGCTCGGATGACCCATTGATACGCTGGAAGCGCGGGAGGCATGATATGTTACATCTTCGCATCCTGCCGAAGGCATTCCCCTTTTTTTTTAGACTCTTCGCAAGGACTGGAGAAGTCTCTTCGCCCGAGACTCTGCAACCCTGTGTCCAAGAAGTGTGAAATCACTTTGCTCCGATTCCGCGTGAGCTCTGATCGGGTTGTTTCACAATCCTACCTGTGAGTTTCTATATTGGACCCGGTTTTGGAACGACAAAGACTGCATCGGTTTTGGACGTTAGGATTGTAGCTTGCGGTGTTGTTTTTCCGGACTGTGGTGATCATTCTATGATCTCTTTAAAGCTAAGAGCGAGGGGCTTCTAAACCGGATGTTGCCCGAGAGCTTTGGCCCACGCGTCGAGCAGTGTGCAACTCGACGACTGCACTGCAGTTGACCAGGGACAACAAGTTCCGCTTGCCGTTGCTTCCACACATTAGTACCAACATCAGCGGTCATAGTGCACATGATAATGTCGTCTGTCCTGCGCTCGTGTTTCACCGAATGTTGGGTACCTGGTGCACTCAAGCCGTGCAGTCGCCCCCTCTTCTAGACATGGCCGTCGGAGGTTCCTTCAGCTGGGGTCCTGATCTGTTGGGAGCTTATTTGTTCGGAC